TAAATGCACATTACCGTAAGCTGCCATATACATGACCTGGGTCTGTTTCATTTTACCAATTTTAAAACCTATAACAGACCTGCGGGTCTCTTGTATGGGTATAGATCTGATAACTAGGGATTAGTGATAGCTGAATTAATGATTATTAATACCTATTCCTATTTGTATATCCGGCTCTTTTACATTTTATCAAAACTTTATCCCATGTTATAGACCCAGGTATAGTATATAGAAGGTCTAATATCTGAGGGAATCTTGTATATGGCAGGGTATTAGTAGTATAAAGGGTATATTGATTAAATATTTAAAGAGAATTTGACCATATATGAATCTTTTTTATTGGACTGTGCTATGAAATAAGAACTTTTGTACTGCAAAATTGATCTAATATTGTACTAAAATATCTTGCTTTTTTCTATATTCTGTATAGGTCTGCAGATGAATTAGTTGTAAGCAGTTCTCTTAAATCCTATCTTTGCCAAAAAGAAGCTAATAGTCACAAGAAGAATGAGCTCAAACTATCTAAAAAAAGGGCCCTAAAAATAAAAGAAAAAGTCGATTGGTGCTAGGTGAATCTATTCATCTCCAAGATACAAATATGCCTTACAAAACTATAGAAATTGTTGAAATTATTGGTGAGAGCAAAGTTATTGTGGATATTACCTTTGAAAGTAGTAATACAGATCGATGCATAGTTCAAATGGCTGATATAATCGAGTACGCCGATAAACAAGCAAAAAAAAATCAAAGATAGACTGTGATTTTGTTTTTTTTTTCTTTTTTACTTGGAGATATCAAGTAGGAGGCATCCAGGGTGACCATCCAAAACCCAGATTATGTAATTTACACTATAGCTGCAACATGTATAATTTTACCAATAGTCCTTACATAGCTGTCTTTTTTGTTGAGCTGGCAACAATTAGACACTGTAGCTATGGCACAGACTTGGGTTTTTGGTAATCGTCCTGGGTGCCTTATCAGAGATCAAGTAATACTATTAAATTTTTATCTTTTGGATAATATATTTTATGAATTAATATTAGGTGAAACCCATACCATCATCTAAGGATTCTTATAGTAATATTGTTGTCTTTACAATGCCATACAGAGGAAAGAAAGACACATTATATTTAATCTTAACATGCCCAGTAGATACAAGTCTTATGCTTATGCAAAGCACTTTTACTCACCAAAATATTTATAAACAAGCTACTGCTTTTGCATTATCTGATCCAAATTCACATATTTACCTTCTCCTTCAAGTTTTTAATCTAATGAAACAAAAAAAATAGATGGAGGCTAAGTTTTTTTAGATTAAGAATTTGCCATCATATATTGAATTAGCAAAAACTGATAAAATAGATTTATTTGGAGGACTTGCAGAATGGTTTTTTGAATAATTCTTTTATGATTCTTTGGACCGAAATCTTCTTGTCATCAAAAATAAAATAACATTTATATGTGATTCGAACTACTGTCTAAAGAAAGCTTTACATTCATCAAATTTTTATGATATTATACTTACGTAACTATTTTTTATTTTGTGCCATCTTGGGTTATTAATTTAACCTTCAAATTGATTTAATATATAACAATTTTTTTTTTTGTCTAATATTTATATAGAAAAATGCAAGCACTTGTGTTATAAGAAACTACTTCGAAACATGTCTTAAAAATTGGCAAGAACCTTGCATTGCCCCATGTGGAGCAGAATTAAAAAATATGGATAAAAAAGGATCAATAAACATTCCCAAGAATGCTTTTAAGATTGATAAATATACCTCAATGGAGACTGAGAATGTAAAGTTAAGTGATCTATTTTTTGTCTTTTTATTTACTCCTTTCTACTTACTAACATTTTCTTAGATATTTATATCTATATGCTGGCAAGGTTAAATTAACGAGACACATTGATCAGCGGCTACCCTTGATTCTTGTGATCAATGTTACAGGTATTAGTTTTATCAACGAAGGAACGTATCTTGAAAATAAAGATCTTCTAGAAGAAATTAATTTTCCTTCAAAAGATGTAAATTTAAAGCAAAAGTAAAGTTTGTTATAGTATTTATTCTATTTACCAACTTTATAAATGCTCTTTTTGTACTACTTATTTTAGATATCATCTCATGGAAGTTTTCTTTTGTGATGGTAACCACCACATCGCAGATATCTGCCTTGAGAATGTTAAAAATATAGGATGGTATCAATATGATGGATTAGGAAAAACATATCGCTCAAGGGCAATGTACATAGAAAATTCACACCCACCTCACAAAAATAACTATGCTATGGATTATGTACTTTATGTGAAAATTTAAAGGATTTTTGTCTTGTGTTTTTCGTGAATTACTTAAGCAATAATATGTAATTTTAGTGTTTTTGTTAGATGTTATTCTTAAATTCTAAGATAATTTAAATTTGCTGAAGGCAGAAGCAGAAAAAACAAGATTGAAAAATTTCACCATAGCATTTAAATTGTAATATTTGTAAGCAATAAGTATGATACCCATGCCCACATGCCAAAACGCTGCCATTATGTTGATTATAAGCTTAATCACAATAAATTGAATTACATAAAACAGACGTATTTGGTTTCTTAGAAGTAACGAAACCTCTTGGAAGGTGACGATCTGTCACTTCGTAATTTAGCAAGAGCAGTTGATACACGTTAATACCATCAGTCGAAGATTTAACAATAGGCTACTTGTCACAATTTCGATATACCTTGGCAAATACTTCTAAAAGCTATACAAAACACTTTTGAGAAAGTATATTTAACTGTTTTGGTGTATAAGGATATTTTACTGAATAGACAAAATTTTGTTGAAAAGCATTATCACTTCGTTGCTAAAAAATGAAATGTGCTTTCTTTCGTAACTGTTCACCCGTAAGGAACTTGGTAGTACATCTTTGAATAATACTATAAGCATTTTCTACAGGATAATCACTAAGAGAAGCCAAATGGTTAGTAATCATATCAAGTATTGGATGACTAATTTCTATCCAGTAAAAACATCAGAGAAAAACATTAAAGAAGCATGCTTATAATTTTTTCGATTGAATTAGAGAAAAAGATCAGACCAACAATGCATGTATACCTCCTCATAAGCTAGCCAATCTCCTTCCCGATGATGCACAGCATAAATGTCAAGAACTAATGGAACTAAATTACTTAATAGGTTGGTTAGATATAGAAATTCGATGTTTTTGCAAGTAAAACCAAATTTTGAATAAATAGTATTAGCAATATTAGACTATGCCATATGTATGATATAAAGAATTAAAACAATTCTCTATGGACATGATGTCTTACCAGGATTTTTTTTTTCTTCAAAAATGCCTTTATAAATATCAATAAATAAAGATGAATTCTTCTTATAAACAAGTTCACGGGCATTCAGAGATACGTGGAGGGGCTCTATAATTGGCAAGAATGATATAATAAACTGTGGGATAGTTTCATTGTTAAGAAGGAGTCGCTGTGCAATAGCTTTACAGATAAAGTACTGGCCCGGCCAGTCTGTAATGACAGGAACTGTATAATCGGAAAGGTATACTTGTATTGGCTCCTGGTTATATACAATTTGAAGAGAATTAATATATTCATTAATACTTTTTAAATTTTTTTAATAAAAACAATTAGAACAGAATTGTGAATATGCCGATCATTTTTTTCTCTTCAAGCCTGTCATTGTAACTATGCATTACTAGTCTATTTATCATCTCTTCATCAGTATATGCTTTTTCTGTGCTTCGAATACGATCATAGTATGAGATCTCAAGATTTACAATAAACTGATTATCAAGATGCCTTATAATTAAACTGCTATCTAGAAATTTTGGATTAATAATTCTATGATATGGTATTGTTAGTGTTAAGCACGGGTTCACTAAAATCGTTGCCATACTTGTTGCCTTGGAAGTAATCGTGGTGGTGGGATGTTGTGGGGTATGAACATTATAATGTCATCAACATTTAGCATGAGTGCATTCTCTAAATACTGAACAAGCGCATTCTCCACATATTTTTTATGAGAATTAGACATTCTTTTTTTATGCTGATTTACTGCTCTTGACATAGTAGTCACACCGAGATTTGCCAACATGTTTAAACCTTCATTATTTGTTCCGGCAGAATCAATATAATATGCAATATCAAACTTAAAGGAGTTAACCTTAGTATTGTTTAGAGAAGCAAGCAGATAACAAATGAAAACCATTATTTTTTTCATATGATCCATCATCTGTTTTGTGCGCTTGGATGGCCGAGCTGCTAAATAAAGTTGCTCAAAAAAATATTTAAGATTAGAATCATGTTCTTCTAACAATTTTTGCATTTTTTCAAACGAATAAATAGTGTTTTCTTTTTTCATATGCTCCCTATCATAAAAAAAATTTGCCATAATTTCAATGGCTTTGGAAAGCTCAAGTTTTTTGTTAGATATACTCTTATTAATTGTATCATTAGATCACTTAACACCTCTTCTCAAGAGATTTTCAACAAATCTCATATAACAAGCATTACATAAAACAATACCTTCTTTCTAGTTTTCTCTTACTAGATCTTTACTTACTACTTCTTTCTATTTTGGCTTACTTAATGGTCGAAATCTAGAAGAGTCAGTGGCTGGGCATTCAAGACAAAGCTCATTTTCAGACATGGTTGACTATAATAAAAATTGTTGGATTCAGGTGGATTCACTAAATATT